GAACAGACCCGAACTCACAAATCGAATCTCATGCATATCAACCCCGGGATGAATCTCCTCTGGATGTCTACGCCTCTCCTTTGATCCCGATGTCGGAAGCGCTGGCGACATGGCTGTGAACTCAGGAAAATCATCCCCTAGCACCCTGGAAAACGGCCAAAGCACCTGCCCAACTGCGGAAACGCATGATCTCTTAGGCATGCTCCCGCCAGACTACCAGCGTGGCAGCAATTTCAAGCCCAATTCATCGCTGGTCTTGGTCGGGATCAGGGGTAGCGGCAAACGGTCTCTTGGCTTCATTGCGGCAACCGCTTTGAATTGGCGGTTTATCACTGAAGACCACTATTTTAAAGAAACTATTGGATGCTCACGCTCTGAGTTCCTGCAGAAAGCAGGGAGCCGGGAGTTCCATCGCAAGGGTGTGGAGGTATTGAAGTTGATGCTGGATAATCACCGCACAAACTGCGTGATTGAATGCGGATTGGGCAGCCTTACTCAGTCCATCCAACAGTACCTCCAGGAATATGCACGGTCCAATCCGGTTGTTTACCTGTTACGGGATATGAACCAGATCCAGAGGCTTCTGAAGTTGGAGGACAGCGCCGTCCAACTCCTGCAGAGCACCGATCCGTCGCACCGGAGTTGCTCAAATTTGGAGTTTTACAACCTTGAGGATCACTCTAGTGATTTACACGGGCAGGATGATGCATGTGATCGGAGATGCGCCGCTTATTCGTTCAAATTGAAAGACGCCAAAGAAGATTTTACTCATTTCGTTCGGTTCGTTACCGGAGTGGGCACTCCCACGTCAGGGTTCGATTCGCCTTTTTCACTCCTTGAGGATCAGATTGAATCGAGGCTCCATACCCATGCGCTGCTTGTGCGTTTATCCGACCTGATGGAGGGCCTGGTTTATTTTGACGAACTGGATTCTGGCGCCGAAGCCGTGGAATTCTGCGTCGATATCTGGCCTTCCGACGTGGCTCGCACAATGAGCAAGTATGTGTCAACGTTGCGGCGGAGGATTGGTGTGCCGATCATCTTTTCCATTGATACTCGAGCAATGCAGAACAACAAAAGCACTCTCCCTCTACCATTTGAGGATGTTTACTTCAAGACCCTCAACCATGGTTTAAGATTAGGGGTCGAGTACCTGTCTCTTGACTTGACAAATGACAATATCGCCAATCACCCTGCAACAGCCAAGCTCCTTCAGGTTAAAGGACGGACTAAGATAATCGGCCATTTCTTCTGTGAATATGTTGATGGAGTAACCTGGGAAAGTGAAGAGTGTTTTGGCCTGTACCAAAAGGCTGAATTGATGGGATGTGACATTATCCGTATCTTAAAAGTTGCCAAAGACAGATTGGATAACGAAGCAGTCTGCTTCTTGAGAACAAAAGTCAAACGCCTCCCAGGCAACCACCCGCCTTTAATAGCCTACAATGTTGGTATTCTTGGGCGTCATTCTCAAGTTTTTAATCAGATCCTTACTTCAGTCACACACTCGGCTATAAAGCGGGAGCGTGATGTGGAGGGCTTCGATCCCCTAATTACATCGCGGGATGCAGTCAAGGCGCTGTTCCAGAGCTTTGTTCCTGACCCGTTGCAATTTTACGTTATCGGCGCGAATGTCGCCTATAGCCTCTCCCCAGCCATGCATAATGCAGCGTTCCAGGCATATGGCATGGGCCACACGTACAGAATCTCTCGGACGTCGTCATTGGCCGAACTAGATCGGCTTGCGATGGACCCCAATTTTGGAGGCGCGAGCATCCTCCCGCCTTGGAGGATCAAGGTGTTTGAACAACTGGCATCCAAAAGTCGGCATGCGGAAGCTATTGGTGCTGTTAATACTGTGCTCCCGCTCCGTGTTGATGCAACGGGCTACATTTACCCTCTAAAGGAGCAAGCAAACCAGCGGAATCGGGCCGGCAGAATCGCTGGGTGGTATGGAGATAATACGGACTGGGTTAGCGTGTTTGTCTGTCTACGAAGGAGTCTTTCTCCTCGAAACGCAATTTCGTCCAAATCTACGGGTTTGGTTATCGGTGCTGGAGGAATGGCGCGGGCTGCTGTTTACGCGATGCTGAATTTGGGCTGCCGCAAGATATTTATATATAATAGGACCGTGGAGAACGCGGAGAGGGTGGCAAATCACTTCAATTCGTGGGCATCCCGGTCGCCTGGATCCGGCCAAGTGGTCCATGTTTTACGGTCAGCAACGGCCCTCTGGCCGTCAGACTCCACGCTTCCCTGCATGATTGTATCGTGCGTACCCGCAAACACTATTGGCGGTGATCCTCCCACTTCACTTGAATTGCCGGACGAATGGTTGGGCAGCCCAACTGGAGGAGCTGTTCTAGAGGTACGATTTCCGAGTTACAACCCCAATTAATAATGTACTACCCGTTAACTCATTGTAGATGGCTTACAACCCTCTCAATACTCATTTTCTCAAGCGAATGCGACGGTATCGCAGCGCAACCGGTAGACCGTGGGTCCTCGTCGATGGGCTTGAGATTGTTGCAGAGCAAGGCATCACGCAGTTTGAGCTACTTACCGGTAGACGGGCGCCACGTCGACTGATGAGGCGTGAAGTGCTGCGGAATTATGTTGGCGAGGACGGACCTTACGATGAAAAGACTATCAATGCCAGGCTAGAAGGGATAAGCCATGTTGGATGCCATTGATGGCCCATTTAATGTGTGCAGCTAAGATATAGAGGATGCTAGAATCTTGGTCTAATATCTGTGGTTTTCGTCTCATCTTTGTCCAGTGTATCTTGAGGTGTATTTTTATCAGCGTGCATGTCAAGGACGTTCTGGAGGCATATATAACAAGTAGCCATACACTATTTCCTTTGCTTCAACTTGCTTCAGAGTAATGAACGAACGCGATTATTCTTCTAATTCGGATTTCATATCGTCAAGAGCATGCATAGAGCTTATTAACTAGTTATTAGTGTTAGCTGGCACCCTGGGATAGCCGTTGGTTAGCGGCGGCAACTTAACCTTCAATTTCTCAGTGGCTGAAAGCATTCACAACAGCACTGAACCACGACATTCAATCATTCAATCCACGAGTTTTACTCATCCTCAAGCCGCGGTTACGGGCCTTGGAGCTCTTTGGGACACTCTCCTTCCTTCCATTGACTTTACGACTTGCCACTTGAGTGACACCTGCTGTTACTTTTGCTCCTCAAGATCTCACCTGTCGTTTTGACGTTCAAGGAATCCATGCCAGGGGTGCTTGGCCGTCCGACGTCTCCTGAACAGTCGAAAGCTCCTGTCGTGGTCGGGCTGATGGAGACGAGAACCTCGAAGAAACGGACACGAGACGATGAGGCTGCGGGAGAGAATTGCAATAAGAATCTTTTGTACGGCTTCCTTCCTGACCACCTTGCCCACCACCACGCCTTGAGCAGCGAGAGCTAATACTTAGAATGGCTGTTTAGTATCTCAGATATTACGAACAATCACTTCGTAAACTCCGCTGCTTACCGGGCATACTCCAGGGAAACGGCCGCACCGTCCATGGTGACGGTTATTTCACCACCAACGCCTACGAAGCTCTGCCATGGCTCCCGTATCAGCCTTGACGTTCGACCTCGTTTACACCCAGCTTTGTACAAGAGGAAGCGTCTGGTGGAACATAAAGCCAGGGAGCAGAATCGTTGTATTTCCACTCTGTCGGAACCAACTTCCAAGCTCATCTCCCCACGACACTCGCCCTCCCACCGCCCCGACGAGAATGAGCAACAACGGCAACATGCAGATAGGCCCGCTTGCACGCCAATTCTGACACCCTGCCACATTTGTTATCGCCGTCCCACGATGCGCTCCCAATTAGACGCTTACGCCGATTGCGACAGTTGCGGGAAAAGAACATGTTATATTTGTCTACGGGAATGCGAGGGACCGGATTGTCATACCAGCGTGATGGATACGTCTAATAATGATTTTCCTGAACAGGGTGTGTCCGGGCGGAAAATGTGTTCATGGTGTTCTGTGGAGGGGATGACAGACGCCGGGGTTGATGTTGTATGGTGTGTGGATTGCGTGCGGCGTGGGGAAGAAAGATGCCAGGATGATGAGTGGATGGGTGGTTAAGAATTGAATCGCTTGGACAAGCGCGCATCATGCCTAATAAGCCGATTATTGAACCGGCTACTGGATCTGAAATTGACCTCTTTGGGGGCATCCACAGCTTTTGTGATACCATACAAGCTTGACTTCTCGTTCTCATGACTAGCTTCTGCATGTTTTATCTGGATTTGGCGTTTTCCCCAGCTGCTAGAACGCAGCTTTGCGGAACTAGCGTTCTAGCGCTTGCGTGATTTTGGATAATTGCTTTCGTAACCTTGGGCGTTCGGATTGTATTCGCACTATCGTCTGATATCCTTTACTGGAAATGGCATTTGGCTAACTTGCATGCAAAATATGAATTAGAAATGGACGGTGCATCAGATCCTCATTCCCAGGAACACCTGAACTCGGCAAGCCTCTAAAATATAAAAACAAAGTGAAAGAAGAGATAGGATATATGATTAAAGAGCCCCATATCATCGGCCAAATCTAAACTCGGCTTTGGCAAACCTCCATAACCCCTGGAGAAACCTTTGGTATTCCACAGCCTCCCCGCCATCGCCCATGATACTGCTACTATTATCCCCCGTACAGAATATCTCCGTCAGTCGAATCTGCCAGGGCGGATACCCGTCCAATTTAACATATGGGCCGAATATAAGTAACAAATCTGGCTCCGCTTTCATCACCGGCCCACCGCCGGACGGAGGCACATCTCTCTCGACAGTGGTCTCGTCAGTGTCGCTCGACTCAACTTCAGGACTTTGATGTGGCGGGGACGTGGGCGTCGTCATCATATCGGAGAGCTCGGCGTCGATCAGCTTCGTGCTGATATCCTGGGGTGAGATTTTGCCGTTTTGGGCCATTTCGGCGAGGGTCTTTGTGAGGTCGACCAGGGTTTCGCGGCCGTCGGAGGAGGACAGGAGGAGGACGGTTATGGTGTCGAGGTTCGTTTTTGGACCGGCGTTGGGAGAGGGTGGCTCTGGGGAGCAGAGAGGGTGGTGAGGAGCGAAGAGGCGAAGGGTGGGCTGGTGGGAAGAAGGGCCATAGTAGGAAGCCAATTTAGCGGTGATTATTTTATGGAGGGCCGGGATATAGAATTTCAATGCTCCTGTGATTCCAGGCGGTTAGTTGACACCAGGCAGCGGCTGATATAGGAAGCAGGCATACCCGTTTTCTCATACACACTGAGCATAGGAATGCCCACACAACTGCTCCAGGCCACCAGCTCCGCAACCTCATCCATCAGTATTTCCAGCCCTTCTTCGTCCTTCCTCATCGTCAATACCGCGCTTAGATGCTCCGGCAGCCTGTCCAGCTCCCTCACATCCTTCCGGATCAACTCTGGCGTGCGATGGTGGTAATAACAAATAGCCAACACCCTGTCCACCACCGCATGATAGCTTTGTCGCAAACGAATGTAGATGCTGAAGAAGATATGGATCACGAAATAGACAAAGTAGTAGAGCTTGTTTTTGAGAAACGTGCGGATCGGCTTGGGTCTGGACTTGCGGGATCGACTGCGCGCTGGAGGGATCCGTGGCTCGGGGAGGTATGGCTGGATGAGACGCTCACGCTCGGCGGGAGAGTATTGGGCGTGGGTGCGAGCATCGGACCGTGGCGGCCCTGGGTCTTTGAAGATGGCCATCAAGAGAGCTGCGAGGAGGGTGCGAGAGCTCGCAGCGGCAGAGCACCAGTGTGTCGAAGCCCAGGTCTTTTGATCCTCAGGTCATGGGCGTTATAGAGACTCTGAGTCCTCAGAAATCCATGAGAGCAATATGCTGACGACGGCAGAGTGTCTCTTGTGGCTCAGATAGCAGCTGGTCAAGGAGAAATACGTGTTTGGTTTGGAGAATTTACTGTTGGTGTGCAGCACTGCGTCATCCCAGACACAGTCCAAGCCCCTGAGCGCAATGATAGCAAGCCGTGAATGATGTGCCTTTGCTCTGGAAGCTAAAGTCAGGATATGAATTGACTGACTGAATGCTTTTCTCCAAGCAGTGAATTCGCATCTGATGCTCTGATACACTTGGGCCGCTGGCTGTGCGTGGCAATAGCTGCATGCGGCGCTGAGCCCAAACAACAACTGCAGCAGCAGCACACTCCATGTAACACATTCTTGCGCACAACCATGCCAGCAACGAGCGGGAGACTAAAAATAGCAGAACAGCAGATGCAGAGGTGATGCGCCGTGCCTTGCCCTTTTGCTTTGCAGACTCCTGATGTCGAATCCTCCGTTGCTATCATGCCGGACCCAACCCTCAATTCACTGAACCCCCGTCCCACCGTGCGCCGCTCCATCTTCGACCAAGGACCGACCTTTACCCTCGAGACGTTCTCGAATCGCGACTTTATCGTAAAAGACTTTATCGAATCCCTCTCCGACAGCGCTCTCTCCAGCCAGCGCCGGTCCGGTGCCCTTGGAAACCAGGCCTTTGACCCCAAACCGCTGATCCGCACCTTCGAACACGCCCAGCGCCGACTAGTCGAGCTATCCGGAGACCTCGAGCTTCGTGAGAATGAGCTTTCCGCGGCCGTGCGGAGAGCCGAATCCCAGCATTCGCAGAACGTGACCACGCTTGGCCGCAAGCTGGACCAGGCCATTGAGTCGTTTCAGAAGTTGGACACGTCGCTGAACGGTCCGCGCGGGGCTGGCGGCGAGCTATCTGGAAGCGGAAATGTTGCCGTCGAAACTGGTCGCAGGCTAGAAGAGCTCGATCGCCAGAGACGGAGAGCGCTGGATGCACATTTTCTCATCGAATGCTGGGATGAGGTGAGCAATCGCGGCGAGACGACGCTTCTTGAAAACATGAGGAGGACAGGCGGAGGTGAAGGGATGGTTAGAGCTGCCCACATTGCTCGCCAACTACTTCGAATCAGCCAGAGGCTGGATCCTCTGAGCTGGAATGAGGCGAACGGGGAGGCTCGGACCAATGGCCACAAGCGAGGGAATACACGAGAGCTCATTGAGAAGTTTTCTGAGACCCTGGAAAAGGATATCTTGAAGCAATTTGACGATTTCTACCGAAGAGCCAATTTCGACGGGATGAGAGAGTGCGCAAAGGTCCTGCATGATTTCAATGGCGGCGCCAGTGTCATTGGCCTGTTCGTCAATCAGCACCAGTTCTTCATCGATCGCAGTCAGCTAATCAACGATGAGGCTGTTGGTGATCCCGATACGTGGGAGAAACTGGCAGACCCTGATGCTGAGCCACCGGGCGTGGATCCTAGCCTCCAGTCCTTGGTTGATGAAGTCAAAGTGGTTGTCCAAGAGGAGTCAGGTATTATCAAGCGGACTTTTCCATTTTATGAGCAAGTGCTTGGAACATTTGTACAAAGAGTGTTTCAGCAATCTATACAACAGCAACTCGAACTGGTATTAGAGAAGGCCAACGGCGTCTCGTCATTGGCGTTTCTAAGATCTCTACAGACGGCAAGAGCTTATATTAGCGGCTTAGTAGATGACCTAAAAGCCCATGGGTTGACGGAGCATCCAGACACAATATCCTCCCAGACCGCAATGGTCCTAGACCAACAGCTTGAGGAACTTTTCATTCCCTACCTCACTGGATATATTGAACGGGAAAAGGGAAATCTGGAAGAGCAATATACTTCATTGTTATTCAAGTTTGCTACTTTCCATGCCCGGCGAAAAAAGACTCCGACGACATTTATCTCGTCACTTGCAAAATCAGGGAGCGAACTGCTGGCGTCAGCCAGAGATGCCTACATAAACCGACTGGATACATCTGACTTTACGCCGACTCAGAGAAAAATGCTGCTTCGTGTCGCCGGTTTAAAGGATATTGACGACCAAAAGCAAATGGAAATTGAGCTGACGGATGAAGACGGCCAATTGAGCGTCGAGTTTGCGAAACGGATGCTTCGCTGGCTTGCGGAGGGTGTCGGTCGAGGACTCGAATTGAACGTGGGCACCGAAACACCCAAAGATGTTTCCGCGTTGCTAATGATGCTACTTTCGGTGATGGCGGAAGGGTACGTTGAAATGGCTCTGGATGCATCTCTGGAGTCCGCCACCGCGCAGGAGTCTGGAAAATCCGAGCCTGAGTTTGGTTATTTGGCTACTTTACGCACAGCGATTAGCACCACCCATCTGATGATGACCTGTATCGACACTGTGCTGACCCCGTTAGCTGCCTCAAACATCACGATCAGGCGAGACATGGAGAAGAAAACCAATTTTGCGATGAATCGAATTGAGGAGAAAATCAATGCAATCGAGCAGAAAACTGTAGATGTTGTGCTTGCGTGGGTCGCACGCGTGCTCTCTGGACAGAAGAAAAACGATTTCCGGCCGAAGGAGGGCGTGACGGAAACTGGTGCCGGATGGCTCGAAATGCTCCAGACTCCGGTATGTTGTCGCGTTCCATTTATCACTAAATATGCTGCGATTTGCTGACCTCATACTTGCCAGACGTGCGCTTCTATATCCGGTTTTCTCACTCGACTACATGGCATTGCCCTCGCCTCTCTCCCCAGCAGCGGGACCAATGTCAAAATCTTCCTTACTGAAATCGCTCTGGGAATCCGCGCCCTGCTCTTGGATCATTTCAAGAAATTCCCAGTCAGCGGCCCGGGTGGTCTCATGGTCACAAAGGACATGACTCGATATACGGAGCTACTTCGGTCCTGGAATATTGACGAGGGAGTCAAGGGTATCGGCGGAGCTCTTGACGTCTTGTTGGAAGTGGGCAGTCTTTTCGTCGTTGGCCCCGAGGCTTTGAGAGAAAGAATTCGCGCAGGCACTACTGGTGGGTCGAGTGGGGGAGGTGGAAGCGGTGCCAGCAGCTCGCAGGGCAAATCAAATACCGCTTTGAGTGTACAGGAAGTCCGTGCATATGTGCTGCGGCGCGAGGATTCAGGAAGTGTTGGGATGCAAAGCGTCCTCAATGCCCTTTGAAAATGCCACGGCACAAGGGATCGTTATTCTTGCATCATATGATGATGATATGCATATTTTATTTCTCGCATTTACTTCCTCTAACCCCTATTTGTTGTCTTTACCACTTCACATATTTTTCCCCCGTCTAGCACATAATGTTGATTTGGCTGGAGAGTTCTGTCGGTAGAGTTCCCTGTGCATGTTGAAATTTTTATTATTATTATTAATGATTGATACTGAATTGATATGGAGCGGACCTGGTATTAGACCAAGTCTAGGAAGGCAAGGCTGGGATGATACAACACCATTTCAAAACCTGTGGGGGAGATTGGCCTACCTAGAAGACATGTCCAGCAATGACAGGGGAATGCGCCAAATACTATGAATTGAGATCGATCTAGTTCTTCCAGAATACACCGACTGGACGATCCGGGGAGCTCGCACTTTGACGTCTCTTGACTCCGGGGAACAGCTGAAAATGCGGGGATTTTTCTCTCAATGATCGCCAGGTAGAACCCTAATACTCGTGTTTCTTTGTTTGGCATATATTAATTATCAGACAGGGTCAATATGTCAATCCCTTGACCACGCTCTCAAAAGCACGCGTGTTTCGAAGAATGTTCTGTTTCATACTGATATCAACTAGCCCGAAGTCTTTTATGACTTGGCTATTGTCCAATGACGTGCATTGTGATGATACAATATGCTTGTCTTTCTACAAATGGGGAAACGGGGATGTGTTTGCGGGATTTTATGCAGAGGTGCATCAAAGAATTTAATACTATGCTTTGACCTTTCCTTCAATAGTACATAGCAAGATATGCCCTGCCGTTGCGGTTCATTTCATAAGAAATATCAAGATTTATAAATCCGGGGTAGAAGCCTAAAGCTATCGCTGAATTCTCCATCAGCAGGAATATTCTGTATCCTGTGCTGAAGAATATCAAATCTCCAAAGTTGCTCGTAGCTCATTTTGTTTCTTAAAACAATGAAGATCTCATTCATCGGTCTCTGCCTTGCGGTGCGGCTCGCAAGCGCGCAAATCGGTATCCTTGGTACGTAACACCTTTCTTTTCTTTTGCTCCATCCAAGTAGTGAAGGGACCAGCAGCTTACAATTGCATTCTTTTCAAAAAAAATGCAGACACGGTGACTCTCGAACCAAAGTCACTAGGAACCTTGGACGTTCGAGATTCGACCTCCCCTCCCGGTAAAATTCGTCGCTGGGCTCCCCTTCCCCGTAAGCAAGGCTTCCATGCTATAGAAAACCCCCAGAGCCACGGGGTCCAGATGAAGCTGACTTTGTTCGCTATCATAGCCTGTCCCAACGGAAAGCCTTGTGCTGGAAAATGCGCTCGACGCTGCTGCCCTTACAGAACAAAGATGTGTATCTATAATCCCTGGACGGTGTGCCAGTGCGTGCTGGGACCGTTGGATGGATAAGGTGTGTTGGGAGGAAGCCAAGGTTTAAGCTTCTTTTAGCTCGTTAAGCTTCTTCGGTGGATGTTCGCGAAGGCTTTTGATCAACCTAAATATGACGTCATCTTGTCTGTTGAGGAGCCATCAATCAATTCATAGTGTTCAGCTGTACAAAGTAATTGGAAATAATATCGTCATGAAGATATCATGTGCCTGTTAATTCAGACGCGAGCTTAGATCCAATATCTGATTGTTGTGAATACAGATGAAGAATATAACTGCTGGGCAGGCAGAGGTAAGATAACTAGTTAGTGGGTTGGTCAAGCTTTATGCATTGATTTCCTCCTCAAAAACACAAGCCATGGAACAATTGGTTTAGACTCTTCTGACCATAAATTGGTCATTGAGTACAACTATCTGCAGCAAACTATGATATTTCTAACTAGGAGTTGTGGAGCTCCCATAGCTACATGCAGAGGGATATGTCCCTAGTTCAGATCGCCCAAGATCAGGAGATATATATCTTTTTCCTTTGTTCATACAAGTCAACCTAGACGATATCTTGATTCGTTTACATTCCATCTACACGTATGTCATTGAACTTGCTGTACACATACGATTCCTAGCGTTTTATGAACCTTGGGATCAAATGCTCTCTGATGGTTCCATTCTTTTTCTTCGAATGACAAGATGACACAGTTCCAATTGGATCTTATAAATACCTACTTCACATTTCTTATTCCTTAAAAATGACTTCAGCCTCCCTTCCAACGTCGCAGATATTCTTCCATGAAATACTCCGCAAGCCCTTGGGAACCGAAAGACCTTCCACTGTCCAACTTGCAATTGCCAATTCAAAAACCCATGCTAGAAGAGTTTTACCCCAGTGTACCTGTCGTCCCCACATTGCTTCTTCCATCACTGTTCCGACTCCGTTCAGAAAAAAGAAGGCAGATATTCGCAAAAGAGCATCGAGGGGTAATAACGGCGTGAGGGCGTATACGTGGAAGAACCCCATCAGCATGAATGAAGCGATTATTCCTATGCCACGTGCGAGCGCAGCCGGCATGCCAAATCTGATTGGAAGATTGCGGCGAAGCGGGCCATAGACGAGTGAGTGGCAGGGACTGGCAAAGGCACTGTGCCAGGTCTCGCTCCAAAAGGAGCTAAGAGAGGTTGCAGTATACAATGGGCCGAAAAGGGCCGGACTGGTGCGATATCGAAGTACGAGTTGCATCGACTCCCAAAGGATGTATATGGCTAATAGTATTTGGACTGCGAGGACGGTCGGGTTCGATTGCGGAAAGAGAGTCTGAAGGATGGAGAAGAGGAAGATATGGAGGATTAGGTTTGTTGGCTCGGAGAAGTTGAGTTTGGAAAGACCTCTTGGACGCGGTGGATTATTAGAATGAGTGCACGATAATCGCCCTTTTGTTTTTGTGGGGGCTATTTCCGACATGGATGGAGCTGGCGCCGTGCGAATATGGTTCGGCGTGAACGACTCGTATCGGAGTTCTATAAGGTAGAGGAGGGCAACGATAGCATCGGACGGCCTATCCTGGTATGCATACTTTGGAGGGGATTGTCTCCGGGCGTAGAAATCCAGAGCTTTCATGATACCAATTGCCACTATATTGATCGAGATTAGTATCACATATACTCACTTTACCAAGTCCTTTGAGGATTTGGAAATACGCTCATGCTTCAGGAACAAATCTTCACGCGAAGAACCCATATAATATGTATGCATGAGCCATAAAAGCAAAGTCAAAAGATCTAGAGGAAGCAATATGGAAAGGTATCCTCACCGCAAAATAGTTGCAAACTCCTGACGGCACTGCATGGTACTACTGATATCATGCTGCTTCCCATGAACCCAATGATAGTCAACACGCTTAGCATTTCAAATAGTTTGATATGCCGCTTCACCAGCGCGAACAAAGCAAAATAAAGAAGCAAGGTGGGTAAAGCGAGCGAGAGCGCACCTTGCCTAAGATTGTAGCCAACCTCAGACAAGGCTTCCTGGGCATCTGGCTCCAGCCATCGTATGGAGTCGAACATGAGCGACATCGCTTCGATACACTGCAACGACCCGGCTGTAAGCAACGGCTTTGGCGTGAAGTGAATCGCAAAGTAGCTTGCACATCCGATCCACAGGTCAAGTCGCGATTCCCAAGCCGCACAACTCACAGAGACAACTGAATATCGCCACTTCCTGGAGCAATTGTCATTGTCGATGGCGGGGCACGATGGATCGTGTCTGACAGTCCGAGTGGTTAGATGCCATATGATTCTTCAAAACAGAGAAACAGCAGCAGCATGCACAAAGTAGAGTTAAAAACCGCTTTTCCCCTCCAGCGAGACAGATTGCCAGGTTATATGATTTTGCGGAAGAAGTTCAAGCCTTTGGATCGCCGCCCAATGTCAGTTGACTGGAACGGATCCAGGTCAAAAAGCATATCATCGTGACCGGCCGAATTGCAAGTTTGCTCTGCAATCCGGAGGACAGCCTATGGGTGTGCTTTCTGGCCTGATCTAGTGCACGGTAACCCGGATGGTCCCGGTGATTTCACCTCATCCATGTTCTGCAGAACGAACCGTCACGGCAAACGAGCAGGTCAAGCGAGACTAGGGGTCTTGGAGTTGCGCATTCAAGGATTGTCGAATCTTAAATCGCTCCCCTGCTGCGTGATGCCGAGGAGAAAGTCGAGACAGGCCTTCCGATGGCCAGAAGGGAGGGAATGCTGCATGTGAGATTGCAATGTCACCCTGCGATGAAGTGTGATGAAAAAGACTCGACAGTCCACGAGATTGCAAGCTGTCACGGCCTGTCCATCACATCACCGCACGGTCTCGAGGGTTGGACCGAATGTGCTGCAGGGCACAAGGAGCTGGACACGGACGACAGTCCTAGTTAACTCCTTCAAGCTCTATCTCCTTTACAAGACTCATCGACTACTCCATACATCGGTGGTGACATGCTTTGATAACGATGCCTCGATGAAGAGCTGGGTGTTTAAGATCGCTTGCCTTCTGACTCCAACATTGCTCAGAAGCGGGTGAATGTTTCGCTACGATGATCTGAACCCACCGGAATAAGCCTGAATGAGGCAGCAAAGTGCGTGGGCTCTAATAAGTGTGATATGTGAGTGCAACCACTGGTCATGCTGTTGTAGCACAATTCAAAGCTACTGAATTTTAATATCACTATTAGTATGCAAATGGTAGTTATAGGAAACCATTGAACTGTTTCCAACGAGCCACTTCTCTCAAATGCCTGAAGTAGGTTTAACCCGGTTGAATTGACAGTCCCCTACTTTGATCGGTTGTATAGACCTGTCATGCAAGACGCTGGCAGCGGCGACACTTAGATGGCGTGGCTAATGCTGGTTAAGGAATGTCCGCGTGGTTTAAAGGACAATTCGCGATTGTAGCTGATTCTGGACTTTGAGAGTGAAAGGACGGGCGTCTGTAGTTCATCTGCAAGGGACTGACTGGTATTCACTGTTGAAGCAAGGGGTTAGCGCTTTCAATACTTCTGGGATGCCTCTAGTATAAGGGATTTCCTCAGTCTTGCTGCCTGCTTCACAATTTGGGTTCCGATACGCAGTTCAAGGAAGTGAGGCCAGGTCAAGAGTGCAAGCATCAAATGCGCCAGGGCGGGACTTCGCGGGCGATATCGATGAGCCGGTGTCCATTGCTGTAGGATTACAATCGGGAATAGGACTCTGGTGAGTGGTGTCAGTTAATGTCTAAAAGGCTCAACGGAAGCTCATCTTTTACAGGAGTGTTCGTACCCTTTCGCGCCGACACAAACGACCCCGGGATCCCCGTGTGGTTAACTCGATAGCCGCTTGGAAGCCAAGAGCTTCATTTCGTGGCGATGGGGCGGCCGTACTCCGCGCAGATGGATGTTGAGACCCGTCGCTTGCAGTCAAGCAAAGGACGGGCGCGCCGTCAGCAGCTTCCATCCACCTGCTCAATTCTCACGGCTCCTCAACCGTGTCTGCTCTTGGATCTTCATCTTCCGCACAAGAAGCGAGAAGCGAGCAAGCAGTGCAAACACGCCAAACAGCACGGCCTGGTGCGAACGTGATAGGCAGGTGACATTCGGTTGATATCCAGCCTCCACCGCGAAAAGTGTTCCTGGACCACTTCGGCTTTGCGTGCGAGTCACTGCTTGCAGCTTGCAGAAGACTCATTTACCGGGACAGCATGCTCATCCTTGTCCTGGTGATGGCCCTGTCCCCCGCTTCCCCCTCTTCAGGGGAGGAGACCTGTCGATCACTCCAGGCCGCTGGTTGCTATATAACCCGCAGCCGGAATGCCACTTGAAGCATCTGGACGAGTTGCTGGTGCGCGAGACATCCAGAAGAATGCATTCCCTAAGCTCCGCCCTTGCGGGTAGCACGTTCGTGCTACTTTTTCTCTGCCTATTGGCCTCTGCTCAACCGTTGACTACCCCCAATCCTGCCCGTGCATTGCCAGATGCATTGACCGGGGGATCCTCCATATTCTCCTGTCCCGCCGCGTCCTGGCCACCCACGAGAATTGGCTCTCCCAACAGGCCTCAAAGGCCGTCGAGAGAATTACGGTCGATCCTCTCCCAGATTTCACACAAACGAATCGAAGCCTCAATCCTCAAGCTCGTCTCCTTTGGGACTCGGCACACGCTTTCTACCCAGACAAATGCTACTCACGGCATTGGCGCCGCGCGGGATTGGATCGCGTCCGAATTCAAACGCTATGCAGATGCGAGTGATGGCCGTTTGAGCGTTGATGTCATAGGGTACGAACAGCAGCCAGACGGAAACAGAATACCGTTCCCGGTGCGAATCAGCGATGTAGTTGCAACACTGAAGGGAACGGAAGAACCAGAGAGAATATATCTCATTTCGGGGCATTACGACTCCAGAGTTACTGATGTCAACGATTATACAAGCTTTGCGCCAGGGGCTAATGATGAGTACGTGGTTTCGTCTGTCTTGACCCCTTTACAGAATATAGGACTTGCAAGCAATCAAAGGCTCACGTTTTTCTCATAGTGCCTCAGGGGTAGCAGTCTCTCTTGAACTGGCCCGCGTGATGTCGCAACCACACTTCCCTCGCCCGCGGGCAACCCTTGTTTTTGCTGCCGTTGCCGGTGAAGAGCAAGGCCTATACGGCTCCAGATTCCTCGCTGAAACATATCGTAACAAATCTGCCAATATAGAAGGAATGTTCACCAACGACATCGTCGGTTCATCCACAGCCGACGATGGCACAAGGGACCCTCACGTCGTCCGGCTCTTTGGACAAGGCCTTCCGCCACTAACTGTCGAAGACCAAAAGCAACGGGAAACTCGTCTTACTATTGGCGGTGAAAACGATACCCCAGCCCGCCAATTATCCCGGTTCGTGAAAGAAACCGCCGAAAATGAGCACACCGATATGCGCGTCTCTGTGATCTACCGACTCGACCGTTATCTGCGTGGTGGTGATCATCGGCCTTTCCTGGAGGCCGGATACCCCGCGGCACGCTTCACTGAGCCTCATGAGAACTTTGCACACCAGCATCAGGACGTGCGTGTGGAAACCGATCCGAAAACAGGACGCAAGAAGCAGTACGGCGATCTACCCGAGTTCTGCGACTTTAGATATATTGCGCGTGTGGGAAAAGTCAATGCCGCAGCGCTCTGGAGTTTGGCGAATTCTCCTGGAATGCCGCGCAACGTGCGTGTAAGCACGAGAGATCTGTCTAATGATAGCAAGTTTTTCTGGGACCCGCCAGTTGGTGGGAATGAAGGCGTAGGGGGCTATGAGATTGTGTGGCGGAGCACAGTTGCGCCGTTCTGGACGCATGTTCTGGATGTGGGCATGGCTAGAGAGGCAACCGTTGACCTGAGCAAAGACAATGTGATCTTTGGGATACGGGCAAGGGGGAAGAATGGAGAGCGAGGTGTGGCTGTTCTGCCGTTTCCAGCTTAAATAGATAACCGCTCGATGATACCGCGAAGATGGATAGAGCCAAGCCTATGTATATAATGCATGAAGATATTGTTGACGTCGCTTTAGCAACTGCAGGATATATGACATGAGCATAAAGTGATCGTCCAAGTACCAATGGCCAGCCATATGTCCAACCCGATTCAGGCTAGCAACAGTTTGAATAGAAGATGCAGAAACATCGTATTGAGTATGTAGGCGAAAAAAAAAACAGCAAGAATATTCTGGCACCCGTCTCCCTCTGCGTATGGCAAATAACCATTTCCTACCGTGTGATGGATTTGCATCGGTATAGTAGTATGTCCGCTGGACTGGAGGCTCTAGAGAGATAGCACCTGGTAGAGACGCATCCTCTGGGTATCCCACCCTCCGAGCCACAAACGTAGGGGTCATTTCCTCCCATCCATTCCTGCAGTTTGAGTCTCTCTGGCTCGATATGGGCGGGGATGAACTTGCCTGCTGTAGAGTAAAGATCGATTGCACTCCCCTTGGACGGATACGTTCTCCGTGCGATATATAATGCTCTCCCTCCCCTCCCGTCTAGATCTCCTCTTCATTCTCCATTGCTCACCATAAATTCTCCCACTCCTTCAGCCCTTCAAGCAGATCCGTCTTTCCCAAAAAGCAACAAAAAGGTGAAGATAAAAAGGTAATAGCAGGGACCTCAGCGGCCACCATCAGCGGGCTATCCACAATCCCCAGAGTGGGGAGAGGGCTCCCGCTGCAGTAAAATGCCAGACTTCATCATTGGTCCTGTTCTCACAGCCCACTGTCTCACTGCATGGTTTTTGACGCTGCACTGAGGAATATCAAGTCAGACACAGGTCTTAAAGAGTGGATGCAATGATTGAACTTGCCAGGTGAGAACCCCTCAGAGAACATCAGTGACGACAAAACATCACTTGAGGCCCTACAGAGGCCACTGATAGTTGAAATATACTACAGCTGAGATGTACCTCTGATGGGTCGGGTCCTTTCTCATATTTCTTTTCCGCATCTCACTCGGCGTCTGGCTGACAAAGGAAATACATGACGTCATACGGAGTACTCGGGAATGATGATATCTAGACTTGAATGATAGCATTTAGCATTTTCTCATGAGCAGTTCTGGAGGGTACACGTTGCTTTGTCCAATGTCAATCACTAGAGTCATAGTGCGAATAAACTGACAGTACCAGACGTTGGCTGGCTGTGAAATGAAAAGCAGCAACCCATGGATCAGATAGATGTTCCCTTGAGCTTTTCACCAAGTGCATCCACAGCATTATCAAGGTCCTGGGCAACCTTCTCATCCTCAGCGAGCTCTGCTTCCTCAACAATCCTCTCTGCTCTTTTCTCCACATCTTCTATTTCGCTCTCCTCTTCATCCTCTTCCTCGCTTTCCTCTTCTAGTTCATCAAGTTCATCCAGACCCCATGCGTCCTCATCTTCGTCGTCTCTGCCAATCGCTTCTTTTCGCTCGTCGAGGAGTTCTCTCAACTCCACAATGCTTTCATCATCCTCTTCAAATTTATTTCCATTCAGCTCGACGCGTCTCAAAATCGGGAGTGCGTTTTTGGCAGCGTGGACTAACACCTTTAATCCGGCCGCGTTGATATCATTATACATTAACCTCAGAATCTCAATTTTCGCGTTATTGCCCTGTGCAATTGCTTTACCAACTCGGAGCCAGCCTCGGCCCTTCAGATAACAATCTCCCAAGGAGAGCTCGCGTAGAGAGGGCCACCCGGTCACTGTATCTGCCAGGACTCGGGCTCCAATAGCCGTAAATGTGTTATCTTGCATGTCAAGAATCTCCAACTCCGGCGCATGGCGCAGGCCGTGGTCTAACAATAACGTGATTCCATCCTGACGGATACCGTTCTGCACCATCTTCACGGTTCTGAGCCCCTTGCCGTTATCCTTAATCGCACGAGCCCAGGCGGCCATACTTCCGCTTTCTAGTCTATTGCGGCCGCACACGATGGTCTCGAGGAGGGGCACTTCATACCCAACGTCTGGATCCGACCGCGCTTTGGCCTTCCTGGCGCATAGCTCCGTCAGGGCATCGGCAATGAGTGTCCCTGCCTTGGGGCCGAGACCATTATTGTTCAGAAGCAAATGGCGCAGCGGAAGATGCGCCTGCAGAAACTCGACGAGCGGGGCTTGCGTGTTGAGTCCAAAGGCATTGTCGCTCAGATCGACGGTCTGGAGCGTATGTACTTCCAGCAGTGCGTTTAACAAGAAGGAAAGCGCTTGTGGGATTTCGGAGAGGAGACGTGAAGTGAATATGTCGGCAAGGTTGGCGGTGTGGAGCTTCTTCTGCACCCGCAGCGCTTTGCTTAGGAGCTCGCAGGCGGGGACGCCGTAGGTATTTCCTCCGAGGTGGATTTCGGTAAAAAGACTGTCGTTTTCGACGAGAGGCTTGATATGGGGTTCTAAATCGGCCGCCGAGTCGAATCTTAGCCCTTTATCTTGGATTGAGAAGACCGTGGAGGAGGGCGCCATGGCGGGGCAGCAGACGTATTTATGAAAATGAACAAGGAAAAATATAGGTTTTATGAACAAGGATATAGCCTCACCACCTCTAGTATAGACAAATGAAAGTAGCTCGTCTAGTCAAATATGAAAGATTAATGCAGGCTTTGAAATGCGAGAAATTTCTCCAAAATCGGGCTCGAATTGTTTTTCGGTTCTGTTGATACCCATCGCGCCCCTAAACCACCTGATTAGGTAATCATACTGTGGCGGGGTGCGGAATCGGTAGAACTATTCATCCGCGATCCGATTTAACTGGCTCGGCCTTATCGGCAATATATCTGCTTACTCAGCCTGCGAGCTTTGTCATGCGTTCATTTTCAACTTGAACTGCCATATTTGCCCTCAAAGGTCCATTGGTACAAGTCCAAGTCCAAGCCTCAATTCATTCAAAAATGTCGTCCGCCGCTGTATCTACCGCGTCATCTTGTGAGTTCCCGCTCTCTTTAATACTCCAAACCTAGCCAGGATTACAGAGAGCACGAATCTGACCCAAAGCTCCAGTCACCTCTCAGGCAGCCAATCCCTCAGTAAAGCCATCGACCACTGAAACGGAGAAGCCAAAGGTGCCGCAATACAACCCCCTCCCAAATCATCTTTTATCTGCGAAAGCTTTTCTGATCCGGTATATCTAGCCTTGCTGCGTGTGCAAGCCCGAAAAGGCCGCTCGCGACGACTGCATGCTGTTCTCGAAATCCGATAATCCGGCTGAATCAGAATGTCGGTCTACGATTGAGCAGTATCGGAGCTGTATGGCCAGTTACGGGTTCAAAGTTTAAAGGGGGGGAGCAAATGTGACTTTTCTGATATCAAACGCGGTATTTCTGGCTGAGTCGCCCTTTAGGCTCGGCGTGCATGCATATTGAACGGCGTTAAGGGAATAGATGTATTACTATTCATGATGGTATCTTGGACTTGGGCAATCGGGATTCGATAGAACTCCTTGTAAATCTGGGTGTATAACAAATCTTGGGTACTCAAACACAAATGGACAATCTCCAATCTTTGAACGGTATTCTCCTTTCTTCCATCATGTACTAAACATTTTTCAAAATTCAGGGTCATAAAATAAAAGTGGGTATCATATTATCAATCATTGTCGGAATGAATATTAAATCTTTAGAAGCAAAGCGGAGGTAGGAGTCAAGTTATTGCTGCTTCTTCATGTCAGAGATGGGAGTAGCACGTAATTCCACAGCCTGGGCGGTCAATCGAACTTGCTGGATGAGTTTCACTGTGCACCAAAGATACATCAAGCCAAAACCAGCTGTCCCAATCAGGACATTGAGAACAACCCAAAGATTTGGCTTGGTCCGTGGAGTCGGCACGAAAGCTTCGAGTATGTGCCATGAAACCATACAGGAATAGCACCCCAGGTGTACCAATTTAGTAAGAACATGGAGATTACCGGGCTCTCCATGTGTCCGAAAGAGATTGAGCGAAGTAGGGGGGAGCCCAAGAAGATAAGCCCATAACAGGGTGATAACGAAGTACGGAACACGTAACTCCTCTCTCTTCAGCAAGGGAAACAAGGTCCATGCCCCAAGCATATTAGCCAAGCCGACCCAAGCCCGAGTTTCCTTCCCCAGTCCCCCGTCTCCGCAAAGGAGCAAAGTCATTGGTAGCAAAGGTAGGAGAACACTCTTTTCATGTACTTGGAACGAGCAAAGGAAGAAGCCCCATGCGCTATTGGCCAACGCAAGCAAGAGAAGTTCGGAGCGGGGATGCCGTCCGATGGCAATGCAAGGGATGATAATGCTGACAATTGTTGCACCAAGCGATGCCTTTTGGAGAAGAGGAGGCGAAAAGCGGTTCAATTTGTAGAACGTGTGGATGGCGCACCAGAGGTTCGCGACTTTATCTTCAAATAGGCCACGAGAGAAAGGAAACACCCGGTGGATAGCCTGGCACAACTGACTGAGGCACGCATATAACCACGATCCGTTGTTGAGTGATGCCGGTAGGGACTGGAAGAGTGGCAGGTGAGAAACAGGAATAGGTATCCCACGGTATTTGTCATAAACTGCTCCTGCAATCAACGGCGCTAACAAAAGGGCAAAAGCGGCTATGGTTATCATACTAATCCCGACAAGTCTCCCCAGTCTAATGCGCGGGGAAAGACAGGTACCCAATAGATAAGCGAACATAACTGGCGCATAGTACAGGGCCATCTGTTTGAAGCCGAGCGCAGCCACGAAGAATATGCAAGCCCATAATCTTCTTCTCGCGAGTATGCTTTCTGATGCCGCCACGACGAGCCCCAGCATGACTGTGTTGTATTGGAAGTGGCCGTGATCGATCAGCATGGTGGCCGGTTGCATCAGAATGGCAACGAGGGCGACAGACGCTGCCCAGGTATTTACTCTCTGCTCACGGGCATACCTCCTGAGGAATATCACAATGGCAGGGATATAGACAAGGTACTCCGACACGATAACGGTGGCACGCATATAGACTTTCAGGAGCTGCGCTTCGGCGCCGCGGGAGGTGTCAAGAGCGAACCAAGCCGGTTCAATCAGCGAGCCTCTATACAAGTCAGAGATTTCTCGTAGGAGTAGAGATATACGTGGTATCATACAGTTTACCGAGTAGCCAACTATGATAGGCAGTCAATGGAGGGTAGTCGAGGCCCCACCACTCCAAATCATAAAAGTACCAGGAGGACATGGGAAGGTTAATCGTGAGCTCCATCCAATGTCGTTGGGCTTCGAAATCGCCATACATCGGAGGCATACCAAAGCCTACAGCTGTCAGCTTTGCAAACATCACTTGAGTATGTATTGCAGCGGACCTGAGTATCCCCACAGTCCCACAGTCCACCGAAATAGCCCAGCTACCATGAGTATAATGGGAAGTACAAGCCATTGCGAGACGCCGGTTCGTGCCGGCCAGAGAAACGCGACAAGCGGAAATGCCGGTGATGGTTCTGCGGTATTTGCGCCAACGATCAGGTCGACATTGGTGCTCAATGAGGTGCCGGCCAGAAACGGGCGCTTTTTGCGTGGCCGGTGAGAAGGCGGAGCAGAGGGTCGGGGGGTTGTCATTGCGCGGGTCAAAGGTATCGAGCGTCTATCATTGACATAGTGGCCTCCAGGATCTCAATTGACTCGACGGTGGGATGCCCAAAGCGAGAGATCTCAGACTCGCGCACCTCGTCGTTGCTCGCGGTTTCAACAGCCAGGAACCGAAGTGGAGCTGCTTGGGAAGCTTCACGCACTATCCCGGATGCGGTTAGAGTCCGCAGGCGGTGAGCTTTTGAAATTTTCCAGCTTCGCCAGCCATTTTTCCTTTTCTTCCTGCTGTTCCTCTTTTCCTCGAAACATATTTTTTTTCCACGGTACTTTTTTACCTATATCCATACTCCGCACATTGAGGTTGTATCCTCTAGCTGCAGCTTTGATCTGATCTAATTTGCTTTACGAAGTATCTTAGCAGATCGTGAATTGACGCGTTGCCGCGGACCTGTACGTATACTTTTCTTCCTGTGGGCTTGCTGGGTGCTTCTGGACACTGTGGGCTGAGGGCTGTGGGATATTGCGGTTTACTCTGTGGGACTTATTCGTGGGTTCTGTGGACAGCGCAAGCATCGATTGCCTGGTCTGTCAACTGTGGGCTTGAGACTCAAATCGTGGGCTTCTGAGGGCTTGTTTGGATTTGATCTGAGGGTTATTTGCTTTTCTACACAGGATACCTGTTCTATTGTGGGCTCAAATCTGTGTCTGACATACAAGTCAACACAACTGAAAATCGGGTGAATCTTGCCATCCAGCCGCACTTCAAGAGGGTCTCTCTGAGGGAATTCAACCTACACATTTATCACCGTGACTTTACTACTTGCCGGATAATTGTGTGGTTGGTACTGCCCGTTTCTTATATGTATCAATTTTGTATCATGATTCTAACTCTTCTCATTTCCGCAGGAAGAAAATGAAGGCTCCAAAGTCCAAGACCAAGGCCCCCAAGGCCGATGAGAAGGTTCTTTCCAAGGTCAAGAACGGAGGTGTGACAAAACCTTCTGCCACTCCTAAAGCAAAGTCCAAGGAGGTTGCAAAGAAGGTTGCCTCGAAAACCGCAAAGGAACTTGAGAAGAAAAAGAAGAAGCCTCCCACTCCATCGGAGTCTTCCGAATCCGATAGCGACGAGGAAATGAAGAACGTCAGCTCCGGCAGCGAAAGCGAGAGTGAGAGCGAAGTTGAACAAAAGCGCGCTCCTGCGAAGGCCGCGAGCAAAAAGGTTCAGCCTAAATCTGAATCTGAGTCATCGTCTGAATCCTCGTCCTCTGAAGAGGAGCCTTCAAAGGCAAAGGCCGTTGAGAGTGCAAGCGAGAGCGAAAGTGAGAGCGAAGAAGAGCCTGAGCCTAAAGTAACCAAGCAAGCTGCGAAGGGGAAGAAAGTTGAATCGGAATCGGAGTCCAGCTCTGAGTCTGAATCCGAATCCGAGACATCTGGAGGCGTAGATGTCAAGGCCACTAACGAAAGCGAAGAGTCCGACTCCGAATCCGAGTCAGAGTCGGATGAGGCCCCAGCGAAAACCAAAAAGGCTATCAAAGAGGTTTGTTACTCCCTTTCCGATCCAACAACCACGGATGCAGCTGACAGTGTTTATAGGAATCTGCCTCGGATGACTCTGAAGATGAAAGTGGTAGCGATGAGGAGTCTTCCAGCGAGGAAGAAGAAGATGAGAAGCCAGCAAAATCCCAAAAGCGTAAAGCTGAATCGGATGAGGTTCCGGTGACCAAGAAGGCTAAGAAGGACAGTGATGAGTCTAATGCAAGCGCCAACCTTTTTGTTGGTAACCTCTCCTGGAATGTTGACGAAGAATGGCTTCGGTCTGAGTTTGAAAGCTTTGGCGAGCTTTCTGGTGTCCGTATTGTTACTGACCGTGACAGTGGACGATCTCGAGGGTAAGCATGATCGTTGAAAAAAACTCATTGTTTATATGCTAACTGTCTTCTCATAGATTTGGCTATGTTGAGTTCACTAATGCTGAGGACGCAGCCAAGGCTTTCGAGGCCAAGAAAGGAGCTGAGCTTGATGGCCGCCCACTGAACCTCGATTATGCCAATGCTCGTCAGAACGCTGGTGGAGCTAAAGATCGTTCCCAGGCGCGAGCTAAGTCGTTTGGCGACCAGACCAGCCCTGAGAGCGACACATTGTTCATCGGTAACATCTCTTTTGGAGCCGACGAAAACGCGATTCAAGAGACCTTTTCATCTTACGGCACCATCTCAGGAATTCGCCTACCCACTGATCCTGAGTCCGGTCGCCCCAAGGGCTTCGGATATATTCAGTTCTCCTCGGTGGACGAGGCCCGTTCCGCACTCAACGAGCTCCAGGGCAGCGAGCTCGCCGGTCGTGCCATGCGCCTGGACTTCAGCACTCCACGACAGAACTCGGGCGGCGGGTTCGGCGGCCGTGGCGGTCGCGGAGGTGGCCGTGGAGGCGGTCGTGGAGGACGAGGAGGCCCTCGCGGCGGTGCTCGTGGCGGACGTGGTGGTTCTACCAATCGGGGCGGATTCGGGGATTTCTCAGGACACAAGACGACGTTTTAAGCAGCTCCAGCTTGTCCAAGCCCTGCATTTCGCTTCCAAGGTAATGTATAACTATGTTTGTTGATTGACTGGTCTTGGTTAATATCGGATTCCCTGACAAAGATGCTGGATTTGCTGAACAGCAGCCCCTTGCGTACTTCTCTCGGTTTCACTCGCGTCGTGACTCGCCATCAAT